AATACCACCTCCCAGGCCTTTGAGTGTGTTGAAGCAGACAATGAGGTATCTACTGATGATCAGTGAGTAGGAGATATCAGAGAATGATTAATATACTGCATAATGTTGATTTTTGATCTCTCCATTTGCATTCGTATTGGTGTGGTTACCATTGTTCATACTTGTAGTGTGTATATTTGTAGATACACACTGTTACGGACTTGGATAGTGTCTGTTGGTGATGCTTAAACAGAGCATGTGTCGTCAATGGTCGAGGACATCTCTGGGCTAACCCAAAGTTAGGAGTCTTGCTTGGTGAGGCTTTGGCAAGCACGGTTTAACGCCTATGTCCAAATTGGGTAGCTTATGTTAAGTGGGGCTCGACAATAAGTGTATCTGCCAAGGACTTACGACACCCGAAGGTTAATCGTAAGATCTGTGTTAATAGAAGGACAGAAGTCCAACTAGTTAACAGAGGCTTTGCTCATCGACTTTGTCGATGAGTAAAGATCGAAACTAAAGACTTATCTACAATGAGCAGATAAGAAAGTAGAATATAGACTGTTGGCTAGGCAGAAGGAATCACTCTGGTGAGAGTAGGAGGTCAAGAACCAAGTAGATTCAAGTTAAGGAATTTAGATACATGGTAGCAAATTTATATAGAGGAGAGGAAGTGTATTAGTGGATGATAACTCGTACTACCAGAAGAGGAACTGGTCAAAGGGGTGATACTAGAAAAAGAAGGCACGTTCGAGGTGAGTCATAGATGAACCAGAACATGCAGATAAGAAATGAGTCATAGAACAGAAACAGGAAGTGAAACAAGCAGGAGCACGATTGTGCAACTGCAGATCTAAGTATAAGTACAATGTGCAACTGCGCACCGAGTCATAGATCAATAAAAGAAACAGGGCAAAGGGAATGCAGCGTGCGTTGTATCATAGGTTACTGTCCAGACGGTAAGGGTAAAGGGGACTGTCCACAGGATTAGTCATCAGGTGAAACAGGGCATGGGTATGCTTCATCAGAAAAAGGGTCCAGCCAGATGTACTGGCTCTACTGGAGCAACAGGTAGAGAGCAAAGGGGAATGCAAGGATAATGAGAATAACAAGAGCAAGGTCAGGGTAAGGGTGTGATGCAATGGTGGAGACAAGGAGGATAAGGAGAAAAATGGTAGGGGCCCAAGTGTCTAGATGTTCTTGTAACACCCACACAAAAAACCAAATCCTTTAACTCAATCATTCAAGCACACAAAAATTTGTTTTCATTCTCCACCTCTAGATGTCCACTCCTACTGACTACCTCTCTCTAAGATTGATCCCACCGGTCACTCAACTCGTCAATCTTTATCTCACTCCACCTTGACACTGATATACAAAGGTATACAGTTCAAGGTCCCATGGGTGCAGCCAGGTAGCACAGAGCATGTTCTTGTATCATCTTCCTTTATGACGGACCCAAATTTTGATGCATCTGGTCAAGTGGAATGCTAGCTACTACTAATACAAACTTGATATTCTTATCTGTATGAGAATAGATCCATCATGATTCGATACCTCCAAAGACATGATGGGTTCTCCATAATGAGTGGAATTTGCCTTGAAAATAATGTAGAAAGGTACACATGGCACAGCTGTGGAGGCTAGACTTGAAGTGTATTAGGAATTCATGTCCTCAATATTACAGTTGCGGACAGGCAAAGTCCACAAATTTTGTAGGGCCTGCATGTGATTTTTTCAGGCCAAACTGAGGCCCGATCCAAACTCAGGCAGTGAAAATACAGCTAAAAACACTGCTCCGAGGTTTTTCCCACGACATTTTTGGCACGCCAAATTTTTGATGTCTCGTATGATACTTTCTTCATGACATGTCAATAAAACTATGACAGAACTGCTTCGATTGCCATCATCGCACGCTGCGAAACCTGACGGTGCTGTCTCTGTTTGCGCACAGCCCATTCTGCTGCTTTCCCAGTCAAACCTATTCTGTATGCACTCATAAAACGGTACGATCTGTTGATAAACCGCCGGATAACCTCGACTGGACAGGAATCAAGGATTTCCCGTGCCACTTTCTTGGCTGTTGCAAAGCTCGGTTTTGATGCCTCGCGGTAACGGTATTTGCACCAGCCCCAGTACTGCCTCAACAGTTAAGGCTATGAGTTAACTTCGGATATACGGACCACTTACCATCTCGATCGGATTCAGTTCACAGTGAAATTTCGGCAGAAAAATACACTCATGACCCTTGCTTCTAATCAACTCCTCGAGCATCGATGTCTGACACGAGAAATCATCTTGTTGACTGAGGAGTCGTGCCATACAGCAACTTTTGTTATCGATTGGACAAACAGGAGAGCACTTCGCACGCAAGCCTTGGACATTAAATCCACGCTCCTCGAGAACAGTTTTCAGGCCCTTTGGTTCGTCTTTTGCATTAGTCATCTTTTGCACGAGTCCACGCTTCGAGATATCAGGATTATTTAGAGGGATGACTGTGTCGCGCTGCCGACGCTGCTTGCCACCATCAAACTTGTTCATGTTGAATGCTTTGAGAGCATCGGGAGGCTTGAAGTTGATCTTTAATCCATTGAAAGCCACTGTAAGTGTCTCATCCTCCAAATCAGACTGCCAGCCTGATTCCGTTTGACAAGGACTTGATTCTCGAGTCGAGCCCGCCGAACCCAATGCAGATGCAGGAGAAACACTTTGCGATACTTGATGTCGAAGACCGGTGATGTTTCGTGCTTTTTTTCTGGGACGGCCGCGAGCCATGATGAGTTCAATTGTCAATTGTACAGGTTTTTTCCCATGCCATTTTTTGACGGACTCATGTTTTTCTGATTATCGATTCAAAGACAACTCAGCGAAAGCAATCGATTGCACATTTTTCCATATTTTTAGCGAATTTTTAGGGGGCACGCCAAATTTTGGACACTGGAAATGTCGAAATGGCAGCCATGAGAAATCGGCTCGTGCAAATGTATTCTAGATGTCCATTAGTCTATGAAAACACTGCTTCTAACACTTCCCGTTAAGTTGTGCGTCCCAGAAAATTCGGTCTGTAAATTTGCGGACTTCGCCTGTCCGCAACTGTAATGATATTCATAAGTTAAAATTCTTCCTGCACAGCACAGTGACTGAGTCAAACTAGTGGACAGAAGCTCTCCCATGCCCAGCACCATCAACCTCTTGCAAAATGTCAAAGCCTGTCATGATTCTATTCATGGGCCAACCATGACATGTGGTTGATTCATGTGAAAGAAAGGCATGTTCTATTGCAAGGTCATAAATAACCTTCTAGTTAAAATATAAAAAAGAAAAAATGAGAACACTCACAAAACATATGCAGTTAATGCTATTGATCCTTACAGGCAGCGATGGCACAATATCACAACATTGTTATAAACTCATGTGCTAATTTAGTCTTGATGACCAATATGAACACTGCTTTCTGAGAGAAAGTCTTAGATAGTCATATAATTCATAACATAAATTTGAAGAATGAGAATGCTCCACAAGGGGGACTAGTGATGTGCAAGGCCCGGCTTGAAGCCCTGGGCCAGCCCAAGCTGGGCCCAAATAGGCCGGGCTCAGTCCAGGCCTAAGTCATGGCCTGAGCAGGGCTTAGGCCTGGGCTTGGATTCAGAAAAGCCTAAGCCAGCGGCCCAAGCCACGGCTTTGGTATGACACCTTGTCATGTCAGTGGTCACGCCCTACAAGCAGGTCGCCATTGTGTGTTCAGCAATTGGCACGTCCTCATTATTGACTCTTACTATGACACGCGCAATTTGACCATACCACAGATCATATTCACACAAGAAAGAAAGGAAAATTCGTCTGCTATGGGCACCTGTGCTATTGCTCTTGCACACAAACATAACTGAGATGCCGTGCTTGAAGATACAAACCAGGTAAGTGATACATTACCAACTAATAATACTGAGCCCCTTCAAGATGTACTAATCTGGGTCACGACATAATCCATCAGTATTCAGCACTAGTCATCTCGAGTGCTGATCGTCCACCTTCTCTTTCTCACTGCCTTCTCCTGCTCTCATCCATTGTCTGTATTCGTCTGAGCCACGTCAGCAGTTGCTGACATGTGCTGGGTGTTTGCACATGGTGTTTGTGGTGTTTGGAACAACATGGTGGAGCTTGGACATCAATTTCAAGCAATTCAGCATGTGGGCCGCAGCTTGCATGGGCCCAAGCCCTGGCTTTGGGCCAGCTTGGGCTCATGCCTCAGGCTTGAAATCTGGTGAGTCTAAGCTGGGGCTTTGAGCCCAAGCCGGGCCGGAACATCACTAAGGGGGACACACTTACACTGCCATCTCTTGCCAGCCATCATGCTACAACATCACAACCTTATCATGAACTGCTCACAATAATCTAGATTTGCAGACATGAATGGCTATGTGCCAACAACTCAGATTTATCTGAGTATATATTGCCATATTTACTAGGAGCAGACTTATATCCTTCTGTATTTACCACGGGTACAATATCACAGACTCATCAATTCACTGCTGAGGTTATGCCTTTCTTTGTTCATTTACTGGGTGAGATGGCTCCTCCTGATTAGTGCAGACATTTGATGATCAGGAAGTGCTGCCGCAGGTTACTGCGTCCATGCTCGAGAGTATGAGGTGGAAACCTGTCTTTATTGGAGGATGACGCAATAATGAATGACAACATTCCACCAGAGGCCTTGAGCATCGTGCGACTACGGATATAATCTGGAAGAGCTCCTTCATTCCTGCAGGTGAGACTGTTATTGGTACCCATTGGTCAGTAGGCATTTCTTAATCAACTTTTCGGTGTCAGTTCTACTGTGTAGGCAACACAGCAGAACCGACACCGAAAATTTTATTAGCGAGCAGGAGAGATGGTATCAGCGGCCCCAAGTAAATTTACAGTAACAGTGAGGCTTGAATACGTTTCAGGCGCCATGAAGCACTTGTACCTTTTGGACTGTGGTTTTAATCAGTTGTTGCTGTCATCGAGGTAGTAAAGCAAGCCATTAAATTTAGCTTCCGCCGCATCATCATATTTGACGCTCCGACTTGTATGATCTTTACCAAATATTCCTACCTGGCGGTCCTATGGGCTTTCGTGCTTTCTTGCCAGCTATTTCCCCGACTTGCAAAAATCACATCCATTTCATTTGCAAGTCTAAACCTCAGGTTCCCTGCTAAATCTCTGCGGCAAAGTTCAATGTCTACGTTCAACTTTTCGTCATGCCTCAAGTCCCAAAAAGCAGATTTTCTAGCTGATAATGGGGAAGGATGGACAGTGGTAATGGGCAATGAAGCGGGTGGTATGCTGAACTGTGTTTTGCTCGTTCTTAGTCCTTACTGTTGTCTTACACCACAGATCTCGATTCTCTCGCTAGTGCACTCGGATATGCTTGGTTGCGCTCCAACACGAGCGGGAAAGCGATCGCATACATAACTACACCTAGAGAGGATTTTGTCCTTAGAACAGAAAATTTGCACGCCCTTGGTCTCGCTGGAATCAACTAACCTTTCGAAGAGCTTTATTGCTCTGGTGATCCTATTCCATCACACGTGTCGCAATTTGCACTTGTGGATCACAACGTCCTTCAGGCCAGATATGCATCTGAAACAGCCAGGGTTGTTGCAGTGATAGATCATCACGAAGATGAAGAACAATACAAGGATGCTAGTACAACTGATCCCAGGATAGTCGAACCGGCTGGAAGTTGCTCGTCAGCTCTTCCTTTACACAGGGTCCTTACCACGCTAGGGCTCACAATCCGCATCTCATTAGTCATGCCGTCCACAACATCCACATCCACATCTTGTGGAAACTGTCGCTCCTTTAAACGACCTTCGTCCTACCTCTTTCCATCTTTCCAACTACTCACCAATCACACCATGAATAACGATTTCCCTGCACTCTATTGTCCAGCAGTCGTTAATGATTTGGCTCATCGTCTGGGCTCCCTACCCCATTTCCTGGACGCTATCAATGACGTTATGAAATTCGGTCGGTTGGAAGACCACGAATTACAGCACTACAGTCGAAAGGTCGTGCTTTTACAATCGAATCATCTTTTATAGTCAACTGACGATTATCTTTTCGTGCAGATCATTGCTCTGACAGAGGTAAATATACATTCAAGGCTCGCAAACTCGTTCGATAATGCTCTCGGTTCAAGAACGCGCGGATAACTCTCAGACGCGAGGGCGTGGCCTTGTACATGTTCATTCTGTGTTCAGAAGAACTCTTGCCCTACAAGTCGGTATACTTCAAATTGCTTCTTTGGATCAGGTGCCGCAGGCCTGCGTTTCCTGCCGATATGGGGGGTAAATACCAGTCGTTATTTTGTTGGATTCCCTTGTTCACCGTTTGTACAGATCGAATCACTTCGCTCTTGTTCGTTTTGGAGAGCAACTTTGTCATACGGTGTGGGGGAGTCGACACTCGTGCTTAACTGGGCATCGAGGAGTTACTAGTGCCGAAGAACCCACTGGCCGCTCGTGAAAGGACCATCCAGACTGCAGTGAATGCTGCCGCTGGATCTCCGACACGGGAATCATTCGCAGCGTCCGATGTTATGTTAGGTATGTGAACCTACTGCGATACGTATTCAGGAGACATACATTAACAAATGATTATTAGCACCGCATGCTTCGGCGAAAAGACAGCAGAGAATCCACCAGCTTAAAACGAACACCCGTCCAAAAGTGTCTCGTCAATACCTGCCGAGCGACAACTGGGCGCCTCCTGTCCCTCGAAGGCCATTCGTTCGAACAAAAGCCCACAGCTTTGAGGCTGATCCCGAAAGGAAGAAATCATCTCTTGAAGATCTTCTCAAAATCCGAGATTTTGACTTGGATTGATTACTACCACGTTTTATTTTATCACGACCAAACCATCATCTTCCTTTTGCTACATGGCTGTTTTTCAAATTTTGAATATTGTAATTGTATATCCAGTACCTATCACATTATGGACAGACAATCTTCTTTCCTCGGCTCCCACACCACTAGTCGTTGATATTTAGAGTTCTTCACCCCATCCTACCTATGTTCGCAATATCATCTTTCTACTCCTTTCATTTATAGATCTCGGCTGGAGCGGTGCCTTGGGATGTCTTCTTATAAGCGGCCTCCGATAGCTTGGGTGCGACAGGCGTCACTTCTTCAGACAGACATCACACTCCAGCTGAGCTTGAGCATAGTGGGCTGCAGCAAGCAACCTTTATTTCTCGTCGACGGCAACCTCAAGAATTGCTGGTTTACATTGTCCAAGTAAGGATTCCATATCCCGTCCTCTTTTACCCTGCTAAAATTCTGCCGTAGTATCACAAATAGGTTCAGCAACTCATCTGAATCCACGACGACCATCCTGAGACACACACTGATGGCATTCTGGGCGTGCTACTGAAGTACATGTTCATGATCACTCCTGCAAACATAAGCATCAAGGACGCGATGGGCCGTTGCACTTTCCCATTACCCCTTACTGTATTCTCTACAATTCATACCCAAGTCTTCAGCAATGATCAGCGCAGCCTTCTCTCCAATGAGGAGTGCCGTTGAGTACGTATTCTGGGAAGACAGTTAGGCCACGCGTCAAAGTTAGCAATCCAATACCCACCGTGCCAACAGATTTTGGCGCGATAGACATATCTGCAACCTTCAGGCCCGCCACGCCATACACGTTTAACCGCGCGTCGACGACACCTTTCTCTAACATCGGTTTCATGGCGCAAGTCCCCAGCTACACCCGCAGGGATCAGTCAAGCAAAGTCATCAAACCTTTAATTGCACACACCGAGTGCCTGTACGTTTGGACTGAAATCCAATTCAGTATCTTTACGGTAAATTGAGGACCACGGTAAAACAGAGATGGAAGATCAGTAACGCACACTGTATACGTTGCATGTTTCTAGATCATCCGTGTCG